ATTAAAGAATACTTGAATGACAAAACTGCATGGCTGTAACTGCAAAATTGTTTTGTATTTGTTTGCAGTGTCGTACAGATAAATTACCTTAACTCTAAGTAACCATTTTGCAGATTGGTTTTAGTGGTTATGGGTAGTCATGCTCTCTTAAAAATCTCTTCGGCGGTGTCGTGAAAGGCGGGTCGTTGCGTTCCCTAAAATATGGTTGAGCGAAGCGATGGCTGGTTCATGCGTCATACTCGTGAACGGGTGCTGCCAGCGGAGATGAGTCTGCTCTATACTACTTTATTATTGTAATGATAATTATTATTAATTTTTGATTGTATTTTACATTACACAACTTGTATTTATACTGTGTGACACAGCAATCAAAATGTAAGTGAACATATATTATTTCTCTGATAAAGATTTAATGGCGGTGTGGATTCTGGTATGTTTTTCTAGACCTGAACTTGGTTTTGCAGTGGTGTATCCTTGTCATTCTCTATACAGACTGAAAGGGGGGGACTGATGTTTGATTGGTTTTGGGTTGGGACAGTATTGCCAGGGTCGACAACAGTGTTTAGGTAATCACATGCATGTGTCCTGCCGTTGTGTTTATAGTTTGTTATAATAATGTACACTGGTACCTATATGTATTTTTTTTTTCTATTTTAGTAACATAGTATCCATGTGTGGTTATGAGTAGTCATGCTCTCTTAAAAATCTCTTCGGTGGTGTCGTGTGAGGCGGGTCGTTGCGTTCCCTAAAAAATGATTGAGCGAAGCGATGGCTGGTTCATGCGTCATGCTCGTGAACGGGTGCTGCCAGCGGAGATGAGTCTGCTCTTAATTCACTGGGTACTACTATTAATCGTTGTTCTAAACTTTAATCGTTCATTATTATTATTTTCTTTTTGCCTAAGCGGTAGGACACGTCATTCCTAAACTTTGTTAAACCATTTTTTTTTACATATTTTATTTTTTTATTTTATAGTCATAATTTTTATATTATTTGCATTTTTTTTTTGTAATGAAAAGTGACTTTATGAGTTACCTCATATTGAAGTCATTTTTCAATTTGACGACTCTGTATATAATACAGGGAGAAAAAAACAGCCCTTGCTGAGTTTCTTGCCGGTTCTTCTCAGTACAAGGTCTCCCGCCGTAGATTTGCGAACCGATGGCGTAGCTTTTCGACATTCACAAGTGCTTGTAACAGCCTAGACTGAATAAACGATATTGAATTTTGAATTTTAAAGTACAGTTTGAGGAGATTCATAGCATTATTGATTGCTTCATGTCGCCTAACCAAATCTATGAGTTGTTCGTTTCCCAGTTTTATCCAAGGTAAATACAAACCGCTACACGTCCAATCGGTGTCTGACGCGCTGCGAACGTAAGATCTAGAAACTCACTAGTCATACGCGTGGGATAGCGTATGGTTATCCCCTCCACGTTCCTACGCCGCACGTGTTTCCGCACCCAGTGCCTATTTTGCGTGGGGATTAGCATCAAAGCTCAGCAGTCCCCGAATGTTGCTGCAGGCCTCTACTATTGTCTTCGGGCTTCCCATTAGAGAAGTCCTTTGTCTTGCAACGCCCCTACACTCCAGTAGGACATGGGCGCTCGTCTCATCCTCCTCCAGGCAGGCTCTGCACAGAGGGCTGTCAGAAATACCTATATTGCAAAGGTGTTTGTTGAAGTAGCCGTGACCCGTGAGAATACCCACGATTTGTTTTAGTGCTTAACTTACGTGTAAGCTGCAGGTTTACCTTAGGAACGGCTTCCCTAGCTTGCCTGCAGTCCGTGAGTTTTGACCAGTATTCGTCGTGTTGTCGTAGAGTATGGTATAATTTGCTCCGGACCAATGGCCGTCCTGCTGGACCTCTCCCTGGCTAAGCAGTCCGCCGCATCGTTACCCTATGAGCCGCTGTGTCCTTTAATCCACTGTAAGGTCAATCTATTGTCGTTAGCAATATTAGTCAACTTACTGTGGTATTCATAAATTAATCCTAAATTAATCCTGATGTCATTATATTGTTGTCCAGTGCCTGTAGGACAGAAGCGCTGTCAGAGAGAATACGAATGTGTTTTTCCCTTACCCCGCGACAATCTATCGCCTCAGCGACTCTGATGATGTCCACGCATTCTGCCTGGAAGACCGTGTTATGGGCTCCCAATGCTGTCGAGATGTGTATATTTAGGTCTTCGGAGAAGACACCCGAACCTGTACCATAGTTGGTTTTTGAACCGTCTGTGTAGACCCTCAACTCCTTATGCAGACAACGGTCAGGAGTGTCTTCATAAAGTTTAAATTTTATATTTTTTGTCGAATATGTACGTCTTAGGAATAAGGTCGTTTACTGCTGGAAAGTGCCTGTGTATATCTGGTAAGATGCTGGTGTGCGGGGAGTTGTTGTCCCTCCATAGCCCCAGCATGCTTAGGCGTGTGGCTGTACAAGCAGCTTCCTGTTGTATAAACAAATGTAGTGGTCTCACGTTAAGTATTGTCACCAGTGCTGATGTGGGTGTGTTTTTCATGCATCCGGTGATTGCACAGCATGCCTGCCTCTGGAGACGTCTTAACCTATTAATTGTCGTTACCTGGATTGTCTTGGTTCACCATACTACTGCTGCATAGCTGATCATCATAGGCGCATCGGCCTAATTATGGTCGTGTACAGCCACTTAACAATGAGCGGTGATAGTCTCCAAGTTTTGCTAATCATTTTGCAACATTGCTAGGAAATGATGATGGTCTTCGTAGTAATTTTGTCTATGTGAGATACCCAGTTCAGTTCTAAAGAGCCACTAAGATTTTTCTAATATTTCCAATATGCTATTAAAAACATTAGATTAAAACAAAAAGGGTAGAGACGAGCGTACTGTACGCTCGTACTAGCATCAAATAAAATATGCTCCGACTCAATAACATAAGCAACTCTCACACACGCACACGTCTGTATATAAACATTCAATCGAGCGAGCTAGTCAGAACTGTACGCTGCAACGCAACGTATTGCTGTCCTTTTCTTGGCGATGGCGATTACGTATATAACATTCACGTCAAACCGTGATTTTTGAGAAAAAAATGTTTTTACATTTTTACGAATAAAAAGTGTTGGCGAGGCATTTGATTTTGAACTATTTGTGTTCTTTATAAAAACATCGAAGGCATTGTTTTATCGTCATAACACAGAATATACGCAATATTGTTATATTGAGTGCAGTACATGCAGCGTGTTTGATTTGAATGTCCAATTGTACAACGTAATCGCCATCGCCAAGAAAAGGACAGCAATACGTTGCGTTGCAGCGTACAGTTCTGACTAGCTCGCTCGATTAATGTTTATATACAGACGTGTGCGTGTGTGAAAGTTGCTTATGTTATTGAGTCGGAGCATATTTTATTTGATGCTAGTACGAGCGTACAGTACGCTCGTCTCTACCCTTTTTGTTTTAATCTAATGTTTTTAATAGCATATTGGAAATATTAGAAAAATCTTAGTGGCTCTTTAGAACTGAACTGGGTATCTCACATAGACAAAATTACTACGAAGACCATCATCATTTCCTAGCAATGTTGCAAAATGATTAGCAAAACTTGGAGACTATCACCGCTCATTGTTAAGTGGCTGTACACGACCATAATTAGGCCGATGCGCCTATGATGATCAGCTATGCAGCAGTAGTATGGTGAACCAAGACAATCCAGGTAACGACAACTAATAGGTTAAGACGTCTCCAGAGGCAGGCATGCTGTGCAATCACCGGATGCATGAAAAACACACCCACATCAGCACTGGTGACAATACTTAACGTGAGACCACTACATTTGTTTATACAACAGGAAGCTGCTTGTACAGCCACACGCCTAAGCATGCTGGGGCTATGGAGGGACAACAACTCCCCGCACACCAGCATCTTACCAGATATACACAGGCACTTTCCAGCAGTAAACGACCTTATTCCTAAGACGTACATATTCGACAAAAAATATAAAATTTAAACTTTATGAAGACACTCCTGACCGTTGTCTGCATAAGGAGTTGAGGGTCTACACAGACGGTTCAAAAACCAACTATGGTACAGGTTCGGGTGTCTTCTCCGAAGACCTAAATATACACATCTCGACAGCATTGGGAGCCCATAACACGGTCTTCCAGGCAGAATGCGTGGACATCATCAGAGTCGCTGAGGCGATAGATTGTCGCGGAGTAAGGGAAAAACACATTCGTATTCTCTCTGACAGCGCTTCTGTCCTACAGGCACTGGACAACAATATAATGACATCAGGATTAATTTAGGATTAATTTATGAATACCACAGTAAGTTGACTAATATTGCTAACGACAATAGATTGACCTTACAGTGGATTAAAGGACACAGCGGCTCATAGGGTAACGATGCGGCGGACTGCTTAGCCAGGGAGAGGTCCAGCAGGACGGCCATTAGTCCGGAGCAAATTATACCATACTCTATCGACAGCTGCGAACCTTGGTAAGGGAGCGCTCTCAACGATAACACGACGAATACTGGTCAAAACTCACGGACTGCAGGCAAGCTAGGGAAGCCGTTCCTAAGGTAAACCTGCAGCTTACACGTAAGTTAAGCACTAAAACAAATCGTGGGTATTCTCACGGGTCACGGCTACTTCAACAAACACCTTTGTAATATAGGTATTTCTGACAGCCCTCTGTGCAGAGCCTGCCTGGAGGAGGATGAGACGAGCGCCCATGTCCTACTGGAGTGCAGGGGCGTTGCAAGACAAAGGACTTCTCTAATGGGAAGCCCGAAGACAATAGTAGAGGCCTGCAGCAACATTCGGGGACTGCTGAGCTTTGATGCCAATCCCCACGCAAAATAGGCACTGGGTGCGGAAACAGCCCGCCGTCTTTAGAATTTAATTGGGCCACTTTTCAAAAATGTTTATAATATCCTATGACTACAATGAGTAATAAACACAAACTTTTAGATTTATAATATTAGTAGGATTAATCTTAGTGTTATATTTATTACCTAAAGCGGCCCTAGGGTCGGTCAGTACGGCGCTGCTGAAACTGACGTCGCTAAAGTTGCCAGTCTTGACCTTTTTCCTCGAGCTCTCCGCATCCTTCAGGATTTGATCCAGACTCATGTTGGCTAAAACAAAAAGTTATATTTACATAATTTATACTTCAAATATCTAAAATTCTCGTGTCACGGTGTGCGTAATTGAAGTACTCCGAAACGGCTCCAACGATTTTCGTGAAATTTTATATGCATATTCAGTAGGTCTGAGAATAGGACAACATCTATTTTTCATCCCCCTAAATGGTGTGGGTGGTCCACACTTAATTTTTTTTTGGACAAAATTTTTTGTTTTTATTTTTTTATAATACACACATCAAAAGTGTCTAGGGATCAAGCATTTTTATGCGGATTTCTTGAGATTGAGATGTGGCTTTGTAATAAATTTATGATTTTATAAATTTATATGGATCCTTTTTGGTGCATTTCATAATTTGAATCAGGAACTGTGAATCAAATTCGAGTAAAAGATGAAAATCAGCTGTCAATATTTTCCCTATAAAAACATACAACGCATTGAAGACATTATTAGTGCTACTGTTTCCCTACTACTGATTAAAACCAATTATTATGGAGCTGCGACGTCATTTAAGCAGGGAAGAAATGCTCAGAGCCGTGGGAATGATAGAAGCTGGTTCCCGGCAACGTACTGTGGCTTTAGCTCTGAATACAAGTCAGAGTGTTATCAGTCGACTTTGGACACGATACCGAAGCACTGGTACCGTGGCTGAGCGCCATGGAGGACGGTATCGCTGCACCACACGGAGACAAGACCGATACATTCAAATCTTAACTCGAAGAGCTCCAACAATAACCGCCATGATGTTAGCCGTGAGGCTTCATCACTCTTCAGGGAACTTAATTAGCGACCAAACAGTCAGAAACCGCTTGCATGAAGTGAACCTTCATTCCCGAAGACCGCTACGGGTACCACCTATAGCAATGCACAATCGTAGGATTCGATATCAATGGGCTCTTGAACACAGAAATTGGGCAGAAGAACAATGGCGTTTCGTGTGCTTTTCTGATGAGTCTCGTTTTGGTATGAGACCGGATACAAGACGTATACGACACTGGAGAACCCCTGGACGCCAACGGCGATTAAAATCCTGCCAGGAAGTCCATCCTTATAGTGGTGGAACCATCATGGTATGGGCGGGTATTTGGATCGGCGGAAGAACTGAGTTGATTTGGATCAGAGGCAACCTCAACGCTCAAATTTATGCTGAGACGATTGTATCAGACGTCATCGTTCCTCTACAAGTGCAAATCGGTCCCTTATTTCAGTTAATGCATGATAATGCACGACCGCACACCGCAAGAGTTGTAAGACAGACTCTCGCCGCAGCTAACATCAATGTCCTGCCCTGGCCTGCTCAGTCGCCAGACTTGAACCCGATTGAGCATGCATGGGATATGCTACAGAGAAGAGCTCTGCCGAATATGGAGGGTATCCAGTCGCAAGAAGACCTTTTTTTGTTGTTGCAACGAACATGGGCGGCCATTCCACAGCGTGATTTGGATGAACTCATTTTGAGTATGCCAAACCGATGTTCTTGTGTTGTTAGTGTTCGCGGTAGAAATACGGATTATTAATTGTTTAAGTTACCCAATAAAATTTTAGAGAAAACTGTTATTTCAGTCTTTTTTTCGAACTTTTGTGTTAGTGGTTCAAATGTCAAAAATCCCTTTATTAGGAAAATGGCAAATTTCTTTATTAATGCAAAGGTGACTTGGTTTATCGTTACTGTGACAAACGAAAACACTTTATTTGATGAATCCTTAAAGAAAATTTTAATTAATATCAATCAGGAGAAAAGTTATTGCAAAAATATATGTTGATCCCTAGACACTTTTGATGTGTGTACATCATACAAAAAAACCACCACTAATCCCTATTTTGTTATTGCGGTACGAAGTTCGCTTTGACAGCTAGTACTACTATAAGGAGCACAGATTCGTATGTTTGTAATGAATAAACAGTAAAATGCCACACGCAGGCTCGAGCCTCCTCTGGTCTGGGGGCTAATCGCCTAAAGAGATTGCTATGGAAAACGCTATCGCTTTCGAAATCATTTTATTATTTCTAGCTACCTGAGGTTTTCAAATAATAACAACATAAAAGTTATAACAATATAAAAGAAAACGAGCGTGAGATATTTGAAAACCTTCGACGGTCAGAAATAACAAAATGAAATCGTAAGCGATAGCGTTTTCCAAAGCAATCCCGTTAGGCAAATGACCCCCTGGGGGCCATTCGCCTAACGGAAATGCTTTGGAAAACGCTAACGCTTACGATTTTATTTTGTTATTTCTAGCCGCCTGAGGTATTCAAATGTCTCGCGCTCTTTCTTTTTCTTTTACATTGGTAATAACAATATTAAAAAAATGAGCGTGAGGTATTCGAAAACCTGAGGCGGCTAGAAATAACAATATAAAATCGTAAGCGTTAGCGTTTCCCAAAGCATTTCCGTTAGGCGATTGGCCCCCTGGTCTATTCAAACAAAGAGCAAGGAGCGCAGATCGGCGAGTCGACGAGGATCGGGTGAAGGGTTGCCAACCATAGGAGAATTCTCGTACAAATACGAGACTGGTACGAGGTACGAGAACACTACTCATCTGTACGTAATTTTGTCACAAATTTATAACATATAGGCAACATGTTGAAGCATAAACCGTGAGTATCCGAATCAGTCTCTGTTTAATATTTTAAGCTGGAGGTTTGAATCTAAAGAAAATCTAACTGGAAAAATATTTGTTTAGTCTATTATGATTAGTCCCGTGACCCGTTGGACTAAAAATTTAACAATTCTAGGGGGTAGGGGTGCAAATCGCGTACGAGATTTTCAGCTGCATATGTACGAGGAATAAATTATATGGTTGGCAACCCAAGACGACCAAGTGTAATTGAGCCATAAGAAGCCACTTCCATAATATGGTAGCCGAAAAATAACTTTAGGTAAATATGTATCTGATTATCGGATCTGAAATTATATGTCATATTATTTTGTTAAGAATGATTAAAGTCAAAAAATTTCATGGGAATTTCTTATTAGATACTATCTTTATTGAAATCGATTCAGAAGCCAATTCCGACCAAACTACTTTCAGGGTGTGCATTATTTCTGACTAGCTGGGCCCCGCGAATTTACCCGCGGTTTATTAGGGATATTATCCCGCAGTAAAACGTAGCTATGTGTTAATCCAGGTTGTCAGCTAACTCTATACCAAATTTTATTAAAATTGCTCCCCCCGTTTAGACGTGACGAAGTAACAAACATACACACTCACAAACTTTCGCCTTTATAATATTAGAATACAAGTAGAATAGATAGATGTAACTCACATGATGGTTCGTCGAAGACGTTGGTCGGGTCCTTCAGTATGTATTTCCTTAGATTGAGATATTGTTCCTTCTGAGCTTCCACTAAAGTATGGACCGCTTGCAAGCGACCGGCGAGCGCCACGAGCGATTCGTGCATACGACGAATGCCGAGCGTCAACTCTGTGAACATTCAATAGGCTAATTAATTAAAGGGAATTCTGTGACGTTTTTAGTGGGGAAGAAAACTGCCATTTAATCCCGTCAGAGGCGCAGGTGTCGAATGGCAAAATGTCAAATTCGACATGTTTCATACAATTCATATCAAAATTGAAACGTTAGGGTAGATTGACCAATTATGCTACCGCGGCCATGATGACCGTTTCGAATTCTTTATAGTCTTTCTTAAGCTGCAAGGCAGCGCCATCTCTTCGAATTGTAGGTAACCTACAGTGTAAGATGAATACCTTTACAAGTATTAAACATTTGAAAGAAGAAATAAAAATTGTAGTTATATTTTTAAGCATGTAACTGCTCGATGTTTAAATCTAAAGTAAAATATATTACTAGAAAAAGTCCACGCCGACCAGGCATCAGATGGGACTCGAACCAGCACCCTTCGCTATCAGGGCGAATGCACTGACCAATTATGCTACCGCGGCTATGATGATGATGCTGATGCTGCCTGGTCCGCGTGGATTTTTTTCTAGTAATAAATTTTCTTTAGATTTACACAACGAGCAATTACTCGTATATACTTAAAAAATTATAACTTTAGGGTAGGTTTAGAACGCAGCCTTGAAGTGACAGGCTGCTTGTTATGGGTCAAACGACTAAAGCGCCATCTGTAACGAGCTTTGTGTTTTTTCCCCATTGTGTTACCGACACCTTAAGCCGTGCCGAATTTACTATAGTATTTCTTGGGCCTAAACAAGCCAAGCAATATTAGAAGTAATTCGGCACGGCCATTGAAGTGTCGGTAGCATAATTGGTTAGCGCATCTACCCGGATTGCGGAAGGTGCAGTTTCGAATCCTATCTGAAATCTGGGGGGGCTACGCTCTTTCTCCGAAACGAACTTTCGATAACGAAAAGTTCAAACGAAATTTAATTTCACCCTTTTAAGGTTATACTTATTTTGAACAATAAACTATCAAATTGAAGCTTTCTTTGAGTAGGCTTAGAAAATCTACACCTCTAATCTATATTCCGACCACGAATACTATTATAATTAAAAACGAGCTAGAAACATAGTAAGAAAAGTGCGAAGTTTCGACCGAAATTTCGTTTTTCGTTGAATTAGAGTAGGCTTAATGGACCGAGTAGATTTTTTTGTAGAAAAACATTTTTTTCTTAAGATTTAAAACATTATAACCGGCACTTACCTTGTTCGGTGAGAAGTTTCGGCGACGATTGCATCTGCTTATCGGCCACTTCCATCTGCCGTCGGAACGTGATCAAATGTTGTTCCAATTCAGATAGCAGTTCCTTCACATAACTGGGCGGTGCGCTACCTTCAAGCTCTAAGCCTGTAACAAAAGATTAATGAATAAAATCACAATAGCTTAGTACAGCAGTCGCTCTTTTAGTGTCACTGGTCATATGCGTGTATCAAATCGTATGAGTATTTTTTGGTATTTGTCTCTTCGTGATCGTCTCGCTCAGCCTCATTGACACAAAAAAAACCGGCCAAGTGCGAGTCGGACTCGCGCACCGAGAGTTCCGTACAAACCTGTAGGTATATTTTAATAATTATAAAAAAAAATGTTTTTATTATATGATGTTCCTAAAAACGGTTTTCGCAATTTTTCCTGTATCTGTACTATAAGACGTTACTTCGCACCAAATTTCAAGATTCTAAATTCACGGGAAGTACCCTGTAGATTTTGATTCCCATGCGAGTTTCGAAAATTTGCGGCATAAACGGCTGTATCTTTTGATTGCTTGGGTTTAGAAGTTTGTTTTTTTCACAGCTTTAAGGGACAGTAGACCTGAGTATTAGATATGAATTTCAGTTTGATACCTCCACGAGTTCCTAAGAAAAACGGTCTTGACAGACGGACAGACGGACATCAAAGTGATTGTATAAGGGTATCCTTTTCCTTTTGAGGTACGGAACCCTAAAAATTGAGAATATCGAACCAAATGTGGAGTGAATGAAATTGTGCAGTTAAGTATGAGAGAGACAAGGTTGTGTGCTATATACTACAGTCTTACCGGGCGTCATATTATGACATAGGCGTTGATAGCACCCCATATAGTTGTGTCACTATATGGGGTGCTATCAACGATATTAAATACCCTAGATACAACATCAAAAACAAAATCCACGGAGCTCCGTATGATCGCGTAGTCAGATACAATATAAGGCATTATTTTAACATTGAAAGTCACCTTTAATGTATACTGAGACCTTATAAGGACTTAATTAAAACGCATGCGTCAAAGAGTTATGACAGTTCAAAATGCAAGCTCGTAAAATTTTACGACTTATATAAGCTGAAGAATATAGACCTTATTTGTTTGGCTCTATGAGCAATTCTGAATGCGCTGTTAGCAATATAATAGGTACGGACCGCGAGGAAAAGAGACAGATAATAATATAATATCGACCATGCATTTAAATATCACAAGTATTTTCTACTAAATCAGTTTATAGTAAGTATTGGAACAAAATTGGCTTCAAATGCGTTAAATTGACTAACATTTATTAGATACCTGTCGAAAAAAGGACACTTTACGTACTATAAGTATTTATTTCGCATTTTTTCACGGAGCTCTGCGGCATCTTGACTTTGCAACGGTCCGCGCGTGACTGTGAACCAAGAAGTGCTTGAGTGGTGTTCAAGCACTTCTTGAGTGGGACAAATTTTGAGCGCACGTGGTGTACGTAGATAGGGTATTTAATATCGTTGGGTAATTATAATAATAATCATCATTCATGCCAAAAAACATAATTATAAGGTACAAAAATTTTACAGCTGTTAAATTTGTGAGACAAAGTACTGGAATTTATTTTTATTATTATTTTTTTACATAAGGCAGTAGTCATATAAAGAAAAAGTGCAATTGACCCTAGATAGGCTATAAATATATCCTGTGTTTAGAGATCCAGACCCTTCCAAGGTTCCTTAAGATGACACAGCAATAAGTTGTTACAGGATAGCGAAAATAGCTCACATAACAGCATTTGTTCATGACAAAGATATTAATATAAATTACTGCCTACAAAAATTGGACAGAATAAGCGTACGCGTGCGTGCTTGTGTGTGTATGTATGGTCCGAGTGTGAGTAGGCGCAAGTGATGTTATTTAGGATACAACAGCGAGCAATTTTTCGGTTTCCTCATAATATGAGGGTGCTATATTTATACTACATTCTCACCGGGCGCGTTGTCCCGCTGCGCGGCGGCGCAGGCGGACCGCAGCCGTCGCGACTGGTAGCGCGCGCGGTTCTATATACTACACTCTCACCGGGCGCGTTGTCCCGCTGCGCAGCGTCAGCGGCGCTGAGCACGGCGGCGCAGGCGGACCGCAGCTGTCGCGACTGGGAGCGCGCGCGGTTCTATATACTACACTCTCACCGGGCGCGTTGTCCCGCTGCGCGGCGTCGGCGGCGCTGAGCGCGGCGGCGCAGGCGGACCGCAACCGTCGCGACTGGGAGCGCGCGCGGTTCTATATACTACACTCTCACCGGGTGCGTTGTCCCGCTGCGCGGCGTCGGCGGCGCTGAGCGCGGCGGCGCAGGCGGACCGCAGCCGTCGCGACTGGGAGCGCGCGCGGTTCACTTCCCCGCTTAGCCATAACGAGGCGCGGAGGGTACTGTCTGCCTCTTGAGACACCTACGTATTGAAAACTGATTATGAGCATATTACCAGAAATGCGAGATGCCAGTGCTGCAATAAATATAAATATTTCCAACACTCACACCAATTAGCCTAGCCCCAAAGTAGTACAGTCAATCTGTCGAAAAAAATATCGTTTCAGTGAAAAAAAAAAACCTAAAAGGTAAGTCTTGTTTTTTCTGTTGCCAAATGACGTCAGTAAGCCACCTTGGCGATGGGCATGTTCAACTCGTAGGCGTTTTTTGAAAAACTCAAAAAAACCGTCAAAAATTTTTTGATACGCATTTTTCTTGTTTTGTTTGCGACCATAATTGTAGAGGGCGTTGAGTGCTACAATTTATGTCATTGTTGCAATCTCGTACAACAAAAAATGCGCATTGTAGGTGGCGCTAAAGTCTCAAAAAAAGTGTTTTTTCACTTTTTCACCCTGAAAATATCATTTTAATGGAAAACTTTAAATGGCAAAGTTGTTTCGTACATAATTACCAACAACTTTTGTATAAACAATTTTTTTGTATTACTTACCGTTTTCAAGTTATAAATTGCGCAGGTATGAAAAATCCAATACAACGGTTTTGGGCAGTTCAAGTACACATTGATTTTTCATGATTGAAAAACAAAAAAAAAATTTAAAAAAATTGATTTATTTTTATTTTTTTTCATGATTGAAAAAAAAATAGTAAAAACGTACATTGAAATGTGCACTGAAAATGTGTACTTAAACTGCCCAAAACCGCTCTATTGGATTTTTCATACCTGCGCAATTTATAACTTGAAAACGGTAAGTGATACAAAAAAATTGTTTATACAAAAGTTGTTGGTAATTATGTACGATACAACTTTGAGTGATACAAAAAAATTGTTTATACAAAAGTTGTTGGTAATTATGTACGATACAACTTTGCTATTTAAAGTTTTCCATTAAAATGATATTTTCAGGGTGAAAAAGTGAAAAAACACTTTTTTGAGACTTTAGCGCCACCTACAATGCGCATTTTCTGTTGTACGAGATTGCAACACTGACATAAATTGTAGCACTCAACGCCCTCTACAATTATGGTCGAAAAAAAAGTTTCTAAAATGCATACAAAACAAGAAAAATGCGTTTCAAAAAAATTTTGACGGTTTTTTTGAGTTTTTCAAAAAACGCCTACGAGTTGAACATGCCCGTCGCCAAGGTGGCTTACTGACGTCATTTGGCAACAGAAAAAACAAGACTTACCCTTTAGGTTTTTTTTTCACCACTCAACCTACAGATTGACTGTACTAAAGTAAGCAATGTAAGGCTTGTGTTATGGGATACTAGGTTAACGGATGGAATACATATATTGTACATTTATAAGTAATATTTATATAGAAATACTAGCGGACCCGACAGACGTTGTCCTGTCTACACGTCTTTGTGAATCTAAACCATTCTCAGATCCCCTTGAACACACACAAAAAATTTCATCAAAATCGGTCCAGTCGTTTAAGAGAAGTTCAGTGACATACACACTCACAGAAGAATTATATATATAAAGATATTAAACATCCATGACTGGAGTACAAACGCTCATATTCATCACACAAACATCTGCCCCCACCGGGATTCGAACCCAGGACCTCTCGGCGACACCATGTAACCCGGCGTATAAACCACTCGGCCACGGAGGGCGTCAAATAATGCCTAATTTTGACTAAAAAGCAGACTGCCTAGGGTATTTGACAGTATTAAAAATGAAGTGTTAATTGTCAGCATCTTTATTTAGAACGAATATTGGCAAGGGTTCTTACTATTTTAACAGAGAAAATATTCAAAATTTTACTAAAACGGTTGTCACGGCAACTTGAAAATGGAGTTTTTATTTATTTATTTTTTTACTGAAAAACAACAAAATGATGAATATCCATAATCTTAAGTTAATAACGTGAGATAGTTTTCTAAAACTTGTTAAATACTCTATAATATCTAAAACGCTAATTGACGAAGAAGCAGATTGCCCACAATGTATCGTGACTTTAATGTTTGCTGTCAAACGTCAATTTGAAATCATTAAATATTAATAAATAACTGTCTTCTTAAAACTAAAAACAAATCATCTATTCTTTAAAGATAAATAAACCCTTAAACACTCCATAAATCTACAGATATTTCTTTAAATTAATAACTGAACATAAGGGCAAAACAGACTATCCTATGATTTTCAAGTGCTAGTATGGGAATAAAAACGAGTGTGCTTATGCCGTGTTTCGGAAGGCACGTTAAGCCGTTGGTCCCGGCTTCATCTGCAGTCGTTAGTACCCACCAATCTGCACTAGGCCCGCGTGGTGGGTCATGGCCCAATCTCCCTATTCCATCCATAGGGAAGGCGTGTGCCCCAGCAATGGGGACATAATGATGATGATGATGTGCTTATGGCCACACGACTGAAGTGATATATGTGTACAATATATACATGTATGTACATATACATATTTCATTTACTAGCTATGAGAAAAAGAGAGAAAGAAAATGTGCGCACGCACTGCTTACTGTTGCTTATATTCCCCATTCAACTCCCATTCGCCTCGCCCGGTCGTACTTTTCGTAACACGTAACGCGTTCGCCAGCTTACTCTCAAAGTCAAGCGTGCGTAAAGAAGTTTCACTTCAAAGCATTGCCCGACGTAATAAACATAAAATAAACACGCAAGCGGACGTCCAAATCGGATCAGTAGTTTTTGCATGATTGAGTAACAAACATACAAACACAAGTATATAAACTTTCACATTTATAATATTAGTACGATACATCTAGCCAGACGCCTTTAAAAATAATAATAAAATGAAACTCACCTTGTGTAGAGGTTTGATAGATACCCTCATCATTTCTGAACTCAACGATTTCTGTTTCTTGACGAATTCTTTGAATGAATCCACGGTTGTAGAAATCTCATTTGGCAATTTCTGCTGCTTTGGTGGCTCAGCTAGAGAAAGATTTAATTACTTATATAACATATTATGCACATTAATCATGGAAGATTTTAGCAGCAACGGTCGCATTTACAGACCTTAATTAAACACAGTTTCATTAATGTATTGTATTATTTCTATGATAGCAATAGGAAAAATAAGGCAACATTTTACTTTGACAAACATTAAGTTTATTTGCCACTTCAAGTGTGGCTATGAAATGCAAATAAATTTATTGTGGCTTAACAATGTGCATCACTAATGATGAGTTAAGAAAAGAAGAAAGAAAAGAAAAATAATTTTATTTGATACAAAACAACAGTAAAAGAATATATAAACAAAAAATACACATATTTTTTGTCTCAAATCGGTCCCAACTCAGCATGGTGCTGATGTTGCCATCAGCGCTGATCTTCTGTTGGAACCCGTTTAGTGATTCTTAATGAACTGTTTTTATTTAATATAAATTTATTACCGTGATTCAGATAACGAACATATTGTTTTAATAGTATTTGTGCACATCCTTATCACTCCTTATTCTATGTGCCTTTTGGCAAAGGCCTCCTCAACAACAGTGTTAATAACGACAAAATAAAAGGAATAAATGAAACAACATAAAATAAACTCACTCTTAACATCTGCGGCATTGCCTACACCCGTCCCCGCCGCGGGGGCCACGCCGCCTAAGCCGAGACTCGGTGTAACTATTAGAGGTAAAAATAATTTGTTAAAAACAAAATTAATGTAGAACATAGTTAAACAGATATTGATGTGTAAATTGTAAAAAAAAAACAATGGTTTCTTTTTTACATTTCAGTTATTTCTATGCGTACCACAAAGCAATCTAATATTTAACAAAAATGTGAATTGTACGGCAATTAAAATAAATAATAAAATACCAGCAGATATCAAAAATATTCCAGCTTATTAAAACTGTATCATTGGCTGCTGGAACGAGGATACTATTCTGTAAATAAATATTTAAATGACGAATTCTTATTCCGTTTTTAATATACTTTACACAAATAATATTTGTACAATGTATTTTTTTATGAATTTGATATTGAATTGATTGTTACCTAACTAATTTATAGTTATAGTTATTGTTAACAAAATATAACAATTTTTGACCTAGTAAGGAACAAATCCTTGTTTTTCTGATTAGTACTGGACTGTCCAGTACTAATCTAAAACACAGTATCTCTTATATTCTAGTCATATAACAACAAGATAAAGAAACAAATTTAATTTAAATTATAAAAAACTAGTGGAGTAGGGGACTTTGTTCCCCTTATGAGAGTATTTATAGGATAAAATGTCTTTTCCCGTGCCTCAATACCAAGGGTAGCTTATTCTTTATTTCTGATTTTTAGTAAAAATACCAAGTTTCAAGTTAATCAAAATGCGCATTTAAATTAATCCATATCAAACTTCGACACCCTCCCAAACCCTTTTAGGGGGTAGTTTAGGAAAAATAAAAATGACTATCTTTATACTTTATTTAGATAAGTATTCGTGCCAAGATTCAAGTCTATTAACTTAAGGGATAAGAATTTTCATACAAACTTTCATGCTCTCTATTTTAACCCTTTCCGGGGTGAATTTTGAGAAATCCTTTCTTAGTGCACCCCACCCCTAGACCTCATAAGGAACCTACGTGCCAAATTTGGAGTCTCTAGACTTAGCGGTTTGGGCTGTGCGTTCATATGTCAGTCAGTCAGTCAGTTTCTTCTTTTATGTATCTCTTATCTATTAGACAAGTCCGTCCGTCCGTCCGTCTGTCTGTGGTGCTGTTTCAGCGGCCAAACCGTAAGAGATAGATAGAGAATGTTTAAGTTATAAGTTAAGAATAGTCTGATAAGACTACAAACCGGATTTGAGTAACGTAGCACTTCCGGTTTTCGAGAAATCACGAATTTCAAACGAAACCACACAAAATCTCCGAAGTTCTCAATTAATTAAATACATTTTTTTTTTAAATCAGGTTTTGGTGAACGTTTGGTTCACTGGTTTGCTAGTTTAGATATAAAACATAAACTTACCAGTTGTCGATGGTTGTGTACCAGTAGCACTGGTTGTCCATGCCTTACCTGAAAATAGTAAACCTGGTGAAAAATTGCTCTACAATTTCAAATGGAGTACAGTCACTTGTTAAGAGATGCTGCCTTTCAAGTTAAAGGTCCTGGGTTCGAATCCTGAAAGTGGAATTCATTTTTATGAATATAAAACCCTTTTTATACTTTACATACTTTTTTAATTATTTTATTTTTTTAAGTTCAAATCGAAATATCTCATTATCCCAACTAGTTATCGAATTTAATAATTAATTTAATTTTTATATGTATATTTAAAATTGATTTTTATTTGTTCATTTAAAGACCGGCAGTATACATTAAAAATAAGCTTTACAATGGTATATATTTTGATCCTGTACAAAAAAACTTGGTATCTGTACCAATCCCCCATACAAAGTGGTTGTTCTCCTTTACCATTTTGGATTGCGACTTTTAGGGATAAGAGTATTGTTCAACCTCAGTTGTGACAATAATAATAATGAAACTCTAAAACAACCTAATTAACTTATATTGATGACTGATTTTTACTATGAACTAGCTAGTGTATTAAATTCAGTATATTAAATTACTACAAATACACAAAATTCCTACTCCAAAAATGAATCTACCATGAAAAACTTGGTTCTCACCATGTGAAGGAGTAATTGTCTTATAACAGTCTTTCCTAGGGGTTTTTATAGAATAGTAATGGATGGCTTCGGGTGCTATTGGGCTTAATTCAAACCGAGGACGGGGGTCGGTGTTGATGCTGACCGATGGCAGCATTTGAAACGTTTGTGTTATTGGCACAAAGGGACTTGTGTAAGGAGAGCTTTGTTGTGGAAACATTTTGCTGGAATAAATTGAAAATATAGTTCAAACAGCCACACGGAAGTTACCACAACTGTGATATTTTTTCAAAGAATTGTCAATCTTATTTCGAACAATATCAAAGCTCAAAATCAGTAGGATAACTTAGCATGTGGTTGCCTTTATGTATATTATAAGAGCTTAAAATAACATATTATCTATGAAGGACACACACTAGATTTATTGCAACATTGGTGTCGATTCTGGCATGATTCTCTAAACTTAAACTTAAATTTGACAACAGTGTATCCTTGTCATTCTCTATACAGAACAAACAGGAGAGACTGATCTTAAATTTAGTTTTAAGTTTAAAGAGTCATGCCAGAATCGATACCATTGTTTGTATTATTAACACTTGCTCCCTTATTCATAAACATAGAGTAGGACTAGTTTTAGTTACTCATTATTTTATCTCTTCTCATTGACTTACACATATGTGATGTAGACAAAACATTGCATAAGCCAGCTTATTCTTTGTCTGCAAAATATGGAGGTTGGTGGTGTTTATAAACATCATGCTTTATGATGTGAAAATTGTGTTTTATTCTCTAAATAATGAAAATCATGTCAAAAAGCCTGCGTTAAACTTGATAATACTATTATGTACTCTAAAACTTTGTTTTTGAAGCATACTGTACCCCTAGCACGAACCTTTATCGAATTCGAATAGTTTGCAAACCAAAATGTCAATGTCAAATTTTGTATGGAAACTTGAACAGCAACGGCACAAAGAACATAATGAGAACTAAAAATCAGTACACATTTAACAATGACATTTCGGACTTGCAAACAATACGAATTCGATATTGGTTCATGCTGTTTCTTGTTTGAATATGCGGAATATATAACAATCTTAACATTGTATAACATATAAGATGGCTCCACATAATCATTATAACAATGTCACTTTGGCTTGAATTGATTGCAATAAATTGAAAAATGAAGTGATCCTCACCAAATAAAATGCTGCTAGTGGTGGTTGCAGTACTAGCACCAAATAGGCCTAAACCAGAGCTTTGTGCTGTAGTGGTTGTGCCAAATCCGATGCCACCAAGCCCTCCGAGGCCAGTGCTAGCAGTTGCAGCTGCTGGAGCTCCAAATGACAGACCTGTTGAAAAAATGATATGTTACTATTTTTAGGGTTTCCCTAGTCATGCTACACTGCGCATGGCATGACACACTTGGCTGGTTTTCAAAATTGTTATTAACTAGATCACAGTATTTCGTGCATACGGACTATACGGTTACATCTTGATTTAACCCTTCAGCCGCTATAGTGCGGTACTGCATGCCTTCGTGAGTAAAGCCGGTTTGCGTAAGTGCGGTACAGCTCGCTCGTCACCCGCATTCAATTTTTTGCAATTTTGGGAATAAATACAATGCAATATAGTTCAAAGTCTTTTGAATTTTATACCCATATGAATAAACCATTCACTCATTGTGGTGAAGTCGTTCTTATGACCAAACAACCGTTAGTACGACGATTTTAAAATCGAGCACCGGGGAGCTCGCAACTATAAAGTAATTTTTAAAACAGATTATTAACAATATTATATTACAACATTATATATTTTTTTTGCAAAAATCTATTGTTTAACGATTCAACTTTGAAAAGGTTATCAATGAAAAGCACAAGTATTTGTATAATTTATTTAAATCGCGTTTATGCCACCTTAGGTACGAAAAGGATTTTGTCTACGTTTCCTGTTAAAAATAAAAAGGTTGAAACAATTTATAAAGGAAATTACTAAAAAAGAAGGTACATTGACTATCAATAATTGAAATAAAATATTTAGCTGCATGTCGACCGAACAATTTATTCAAGTTATTGAATAAATTTCAAACCGCGTCGAGCAAACGGGGGGTGCTTTATGCAGAGGCTTTCCCGCAGTTGAAGAGTTAATGTTGTTACAAGACAGATGAATATAATATAATATGAATCTCATTACCACAGTAACAGTCACATGGCATCAATGGCAAAATAATGTATTTAACTAGTTTGTTGAAAACCATTAGTACCTTAATTACTTGTGCTTATGAATAAAAAATGGGGTTTTATTTATATTCATGTTATTTATTTTACATGCATAAATATAGGCATAGTTGACAACAATATAGGACTGAAATATTTCTTAAGTAATAATATTATGGGCTCATAAGTGTGATGCCACACATCCATCATCAAAACATGATGGTATGGTATAAGCAAATGTCACTTTTGCAAAGTTACAAATATGTGAAATAATTTTAAGCCTTTTATGATCACATGACACTAGATCAATATCCTTCCCAGCAATGTCTCAAAAGCAAATCTTAGATATTATGCATATTGTATACTTAATAATCCATTAAATGTAACTAACCAGTTCCTGTTGCTGCTGTGCTAGTAGCAGCTCCAAAGCTTAGGCCACCAGCAGCCAGTCCAGTGGAACCAAATGCAGGAGTGGTGGTAGTAGTTGCACCAAAAGCTGGCGTAGTTGTTGCCCCTGGGCCGATCAAATCAATATTATGGTTAAGAGTGGAATCCTTAACAAATGTTTTTTTATTGATTGATTATAATCTTGATTTAACAATATGGTGTAATAATACTATAGGGACATAGTTTTCTCTTGTAAAACCTTGAATAAGGGACAACAAACATTATGTGAAGTTTGTTTAAAGTATGCAAAAGCATTAAGTAGCCCACAGACAGACACTGCCTGCAGCCTCTGCCAGTTGTATTTGCTTACAATGTAAGCGAGTGTTCAAACACAATCAACCAATATAAGGGCTGGCTACAGCCGGAGGCCTCCTGTCTATAAGAACCTTCATCTGTGCAATATTACATAAAATCTGTGAAATGACTTCACATTAATTTTATTTATGAGTTAAAAATTAGTGATATTATTGTCTCTATACATATTTTACTAATATATAAAATATTCACCAAACGCTGGAGCTGTGCCAAAAGCAGGAGCAGCCGAGGTTGCTCCAAATGTAGGGGCAGTTGAAGTGGCTCCAAATGCAGGTGTTGTGCTGGCTCCGAAACTTGGCAACGAACCGAAAGCCGGTGTACTGGTGTTGGCTCCGAACGATGGGGCGCTCGACGTGACGCCAAACGCAGGGGTCGTTGTAGCTCCGAAGGCGGGAGTAGACGAAGCTCCAAAAGTGGGAGTCGCTGTGCCGAACGTAGGCGCTGACGTCGCCGGCGTACTAAATAGTCCCGTGGACGGCTGCGAAGTAGCCGTTAAGCCAAAACCGGGCGTAGCTGGCCTAAAATACCATGTAAAAGCTGAGTATTTGGAGAACGGGGTTTTTTCTATATTTCAAGTTTGACTTGCGTTAAGGATGTAAAGTTAACCTAATTTCTATTACGAAGTATTGATAAATGCCATAATATAAAGTTGACAAGGATTCTTACAAACTGATTATGGTAATATTGCTTCCGACGTCTCTCAATGGTTATATACTCTTTTTACAGATGATGCTCGATTGTTAAAGGTTATGTCACTTACTTTGCCGCGCCAAAGTTGAAGCCACCTCCGCCAATACCAGTGGCTGGAGCACTTGATGGCGTCCCAAAAGAGAAGGACATGATTTTTGTTCGATGTTCAATTCATGTGAAGATTCGATTTGCTAACGAATTTCAATGTATTGGCTAAAAACTCAGTATTCCTGCTATTTACAGTCCAGTTTACAATTTATTAGGAGACATATTATGATAGATTGTAGACACTACACATAAAATCACAATAAAAACAAAAGAAATAAGAAAACAGCAGATAAAAATTTGTTTAGCTTTACAAAAAACTTGCTCCTTTCTTCGTCCCTTTAAACTTTTTTTTGTTGTTGAAGTTCTCCCGTTTAAGGGAAGGCAAAGGGAACAATGCCCATACAGCCTAGTCTTTAATTAAATTTATCTTCTTTTTGTTTTTACATTAGAATGTCGGTGTGACGCATTCTAATGTTTCTTGGAGTGTTTGGCACGAAATGTATCGAGTTGGCTTTTTCGATAAGCTTCTGTGAGGTAGTCAACACTACAATAAAATTCTCACGTCCACTTGACCGGAATAGCGTATATTTTAATGATTCCACTAATTCTTCAGTTACGCAGACAGTTGTTACACAAAACCACACCAATTTTATTTCACAATATCCACTATGAACGAATTTAAGAATAATTAAAATAAGACGCCAACCGATCTCGATGAAATACCGCCAAAAAAGCCCTACACTTTTTTTTTTGGTTAATTTGTCCCTGTTGGGACGGGCAAAGGACTAAACTTTTTTTTTTGGTTAAGTTCTCCCTTTTCAGGGAAGGCAAGGGGAACAATGCCCATACAGCCTAGTCTTAAGTTAAATTATTCTTTTTTTCTTTTTACATTAGAATGTCGGTGTGACGCATTCTAATGTTTCTTGAAGTATTTGGCACGAAATGTATCGAGCTAGCTTTTTCGATAAGCTTCTGTGAGGTAGTCAATACTACAATAAAATTCTCACGTCCACTTGACCGGAATAGCATATATTTTGACGATTCTACTAATTCTTCAGTTACGCAGACAGTTGTAACACAAAATCACACCAATTTTATTTCACAATATCCACTATGAACGCATTAAAGAATAATTAAAATAAGACGCCTACCACACTCGATGAAATCCCGCCAAAAACTCCTTTAAACTTTTTTTTAGAGCTGTAGCAAACCGTATGTATTCGGTACTGAGTAACGGGTGCGCCATCTAGTACCGAGTAACGAAACGTTACACACAAATAAATTTCGTTACTCGCATTTTTCGTAGTATGACTATCTATATGTTTTAGGGATGTCGAAAGTTGAAAAAAATATAGATACATCGATATTTTAAAAAATATCAATATCGGCTTCGATATATCACGAAAAAAACATCGACATATCGGACCAATTTTCCCAAAATTATATTTAGGTCAGCCTAGCACATTAATAATAACAATACAAATTATAATTAAAGAAAGAATTATCAAAGTACCCAATTGCCGATACACTACATGACAGTACGGTATCTCACGAAATATGGCACGCGGAATAATAATGAAACGAAAATTATCTCCCTAAAAGTAGACCCGTTTTTCGAATGTAGAAAATGATTGCAGGGCCTCTCAGGTGTCGTCTTTCATAAACAAGACTAGACAGTCACACACTTCCACAGAATATAATGGAATTCAGCGCAACCAATTCACCAGCGAAACAGATTTACAAATAATAGACAATACTAAATACAGCACAGATCATAGATATGTTAAATATCATTAATCTGAGATCCAGTTCCGATTTTTCCAGATACGAATAATAATTCAGTTAGATCGTGATATGCCGCTAATAATTAAAAAAATGGGTGCGTGTACTTATGTAGGCGCGTGAGAAGTTATCCTTCTTTGGCATCGTTTAAAATTAGTTTTTAATTGCATGCAAATAATTAATTACAATAAATTAATAAAAAGTCTGGAAAAGGACACAGTCAATAAAATTCAGTTTTAATTTGAAAAAATAAATAAATAATCAAAATATTCAATTAAAATCGCTACTGAATATAATTTATTAGAACATATGTGATTTGCACTTGTATGAAACTCAAACACGTATTCCGAATATACAAACTAGAAACATGTGGATAAATATTATAAATATGAATACCTATAACTGTTACTTTATTACAAAAAATAAAGATGTGGTTTTTGGTTCTACTACACCAATGGTCAAGAGATGGCGCTGTAGTCTCCTGAATCGCGCTTTGGTTCCGTTGTTCCAGATTAATAAATACTTTTGATAGGCCTTCACAATGCAGTCGTTAGCACCCACTAAATAGAGATTCTATTTCTATTTTGTTGGTAGATTTTCTTAATGTGCGGTAAACACAAAAGTAACAGCATGAAGTTGGTCGCTTTAGCTTTATTTTTTGTGTTACAGTGATGCGCGCGCATCTTAAAATTTCATTCTCATCATTTTTTCATAACGCGCCTAAAGAAGTATAACTTCAAAAATATCGTTTTTGATACGAATTTCGATATTGGTTATTTTGTATCGATGTATCGATATATCGAATCAAAATATATCGAACAAAAAATATCGATATATCGATACATCGATATATTTTCAACAAGCCTGCCTTTTAATTGATGTGTGTATAGAAACATTTGCTGATCGTATGTTTTAAGCATGCGCGAGCATATTCGGAGAATTTAAAAACGTACTTTGGAGTTTTTGGCGGGATTTCATCGAGTGCGGTTAGCGTCTTATTTTAATTATTCTTAAATTCGTTCATAGTGGATATTATGAAATAAAATTGGAGTGATTTTGTGTTACAACCGTCTGCGTAACTAAAGAATTAGTGGAATCGTTAAAATATACGCTATTCCGGTCAAATGGACGTGAGAAATTAATTGTCGTGTGACTACCTCACAGAAGCTTATCGAAAAAGCCAACTTGATAGATTTCGTTTAAAATATTTTTATTTTTTTTATTATTTTATTTTGAGAACAAACGATTTTTGCTGTAGTTCTTTCTTTCGTTATGTTTAATTTCATTCTAAGCAAAACTATTTTTATGTTGATTTATCGTTAGAATGCTATTTAAGTATTATTATCAATACAATAATTATCGACACCCATTTGTTGATTTATCATTATAATAGGCTAGTTGACCCTTTTTGGAAAAAGGTTTTAAATGGTTAATAAATGTTCTATTAGACCGAAAAAAAATGTATTGTATTTTTTTTAAACCTAGAAAGCTACAAATCTTTAATTTTAAAATAGACTTTTCATGGACATACAAAAACGCTGTCGGCCATTTTAGTCTATAGATTGTCTATGCTATGACGTAAACTGTGGTAAACAAAAACTCGTAAACACGTAGAAAATTACTTATAGCTGAGTTTATAATAAAAAAAAAACATGATTTCTAATAAATACCACGAAAAATAAAGTAATTATCATTACTGTATTGTATGAGAATATAAAAACACATCCTTGAAGACTCCAGGAAAGTTGTGGATTAAAGTGCCGAAAGAAATTAACCTACGTAACTTTATTACACTTATTCATATGTTGTATCAGTTTTATGTTTATTACTACATTGTAATACTAAATGCACTGTACTTATATAGATGCCTTGTCGTGTCTCTGCTCCGCAGAGCAGAAATCGGGGTTTAGTGCAACAAATTCACAAAGCCGGCATCCATAATTTGTTTAGTCAAAAAAAACTAAGTTTACTGTTTTTTTCTTTCCTAAAGTTAAAAGTGTTTTAAGATAAATTTAGTCAGACGAAAGAATCCACCTACAGTAACACGGGAATGACATTTAGTTGTTTACCACAAGAGACGTCAAAATCATGGCGAATGTGGCGAACAGCGTTTTTAGTGTTTAAAAAATATAGACTAAAAAATATTTTTTTAAATTAAATTTCTACAGCAATCTTCTGCTTTTATGAAGTGAAATCGATATATTATGGTTCCTTAGACTAAACACTTTAAGAAATAAACATTTATTTAATACAATTCGACATGAGTAAACTAGCCTATTGATGAATAATGGATTGCGATGTTATTGTGATATAACATAAGCTCACGGTTAAAAATTTCAAAATAGTAAAACCGATTTTTTTATGAGAAGTAACGAGTAACGTAACGATACTATAGTAACGGGTACTAATTGTTAAAGTAACGAATACATACGGGTACGCTTTTTGACGTGACAACGTCTTAAATTAGGTTGCGGCTGGGAGTCACTTATGAAAAAGTGTAACGCTCGGTAACGTTACGATGAGTCTCTCGTGTTAAGTTTAAGTTTACATGTACAATGTTTTAGTAAACAAAATATATTTCTATAGTTAAAATTTGTGCAATTCTTATTTTCATTCAATTCCTTGTTCCTATTGTGCAATTTAATTATATTCATATCAATAAATATTCTACCGAGAAAAAGACGTTGTCACGTAAAATCTTCGCCCGTAAAACCGACTTTACAGGCAACCATTTTTTTCGTTACTTTTACACCTCTACTTTTTTTCCAACGCCAGAAACTAGGCTTGTTGAAAATATATCGATATTTTTGTACGATATATCGATATTTTTAGCCGATATATTTTGATTCGATATATCGATACATCGATACAAAATAACCAATATCGAAATTCGTATCAAAATCGATATTTTTTTAAATATTAGCGGCATATCACGATCCAACTAAATTCGTATCTGGAAAAATCGTAACTGGATCTCAGATTAAAGATATTTAACATATCTATGATCTGTGCTGTATTTAGTACTCTCTATGATTTGTAAATCTGTTTCGCTGGTGAATTGGTTGTGCTGAATTCCATTATATTCTGTGGAAGTGTGTGACTGTCTAGTCTTGTTTACGAAAGATGGCAACTGAGAGGTCCTGCAATCATTTTCATCATTCGAAAATAGGGTCTTTTTTAGGTAAATAATTTTCGTTCCATTATTATTCCGCGTGTCATCTTTCGTGAGATACTGTACTGTCATGTAGTGTAGCGGCAATTTGGTACTTTGATAATTCTTTCTTTAATTATAATTTGTATTGTTATTATTACTGAGCTAGGCTGATCTAAATATATTTTTGGGAAAATTAGTCCGATATATCGATGCTTTTTTCGCGATATTTCGATCGATAATATCGTATCGATATTTTTTTCAACTTTCGACATCCCTACCAGAAACAGGGTTGCCGTTCTACAAAATTTAAAGTATCCAGAGCTGCGTTCTGAACCTACGCTCCAGGTGCAACTAATCTAATGTCAATTTTGACATAAGTGCTATTCATTTTATGTCAAAATTGAAACGTCAGGGTAAAAAGTTGCAGTCTGAGCGTAGGGATCGAACACTCACCATCTTTATAATTTGGGGCAGATGTGGGTAAAATTAGTTACTATAAATTCTCTAAATGTTGCTAAGGCTTATGGTAACCTATGTAATATTATTAGATTTTGTGCTAGTATTTATTTACTTGCTTTATGTGTGTTTATTTTTATTTGTAAATGCATCAATCAAGAAATAACAAAATAAATAAATAATACATACGTACAACAAGTTATAAAAAAAAACAAATTCATTTAGTGAGTAAATGTTTAGCCAATGTTTGAACTATTTAAAGGAACTTGCCAATGTTCCTCTTCCCTCCCGGACCGCACCTAGTGCGAACGCATCCACTGGTCTGTGTCAGTATTTTATTAAATAATTAAATACAAATTTAAATTACAAATAATTTACCACATAATAATATGAGTGCATAACAGTGAAGAGGTATCACTACGAAGCTTAATCCGCGTAGTGAAGTGTCTGTGAACTGTCCTACTCTGCTGCGAAACGGACTTCGAGTGCGTGTAAAAAAGATAGAAGACAGTGCAGTTGTCTGCTAGTGAAAGTAATCCGCCGTTGTGTCGATACTGGACAGGTTTACGTCATCTACTGTAGTAGGCGCAAGAAGGACATTATACTGCATTATCCTGTCTCGCTCATTTTCGCCTGCTGTATTCCCGCTCATTTATGGGTCAGGCCGCCATTTTTTGCTGATATGGCGCAGAAGTATTGTGTTGGTGGCGTAGAAACTTCTACGCGTCGGTGACGTTGAGTAGCGTATAATAGTGACGAATAAATGTTAAGGTTGGCATACACATGCCAAAATATTAAGATTAAATTATGTTGTATAACGTAATTGCTCCAATTATGGACACTTTAAGGATGAAAAGGTGGGTTTTTGCAGGATTATTCCTAATATATCAGGATTTTGTTTAAACATCAATGTTGAGCTTAATGTCCGTCTTTTTTCCTTTATGCTTATGCCGAAAAAGTTAGAAATAACCGCATAAAAATGAGAGATATCATTAAAATATAAACACGGTTTTTAAGCTAGTAATGGACAAGTAAAAACAATTAATGGACATCCAGTGATGAACATGCACCAAATATGGACATCTAATAATGAACACAATTTAATAATAGACCCCCACTAATGGACCAGCTCGTTGAATTTAGAATAAGAAGTAGTTCCATATATCTAAGTAAATAAAAACATCAACAATTTTATAATCAACTAGACATTTATTATATTTTTATTTTGTAAAGCATTTATTTGCTAGATTTT